AATAAATAATACTTTTCCTATATATCGCATCACTTCCTCAGTCTTGACGTCAAGTAACGGATTTTCAAAGCCATTTAATCCGATTCTATAGCCATCGAAGCCATCGTGAGTGCCATCGATGGTAAGGACGGGAACCCGAGCGTAGGCTTTGGCAACCCTTCGCTTTCCATTCATGCAAATCACTTTCGCCCAAATCTCATCATCTATTTGTTCCCATTTGTTGAATACTTCTTGGATATGATCCTTAAAATTGAATCAAATTGTATATAATTTTATGCCTTTTCTGTTTGTTTCCATATAAAAAGCCCTTAAAATAACTTTTATTTCGTTTCGTTCACTAAATTATTAATATTATATTTTTATAAATATTAAATTTAGATGAATATTAGATTGTATTCTTATATTCAATGAAATAGTTTAGATTTTGAATGAAAATAAATAATCATTATTTGCATCTCTTTTATAAAATACTATATCATTTGACATTCATTTCATAAGTCATTGGTTACACAACTCCATAATTATTGAGATTACTTGGGTTTAGACCTTCTCTACACATAAATAGTATTCTTGTATATATTTATGAAAAACACATAATAATAATAAAAAATAATAATAAATTTGTGCTGAATTTTAAATGAAATTTATTATGTCTTCCTATATATGGGTCTCGAAAGAAGAGTCTGAATCATTAAAGTAGGAGTGAGTCCTTTAAATTTAAATAATACTATTATTTTATTATTCAAAACAGAGTCATCAAGGATTGTCTGATCAGCCCTTTTGCACAAACATATAAAACTTTTGCTTCAAAAAACAATAACAATAAATCGGTGGGAAAACTGAGATTGCATTCATTTGACAAAAAAGTGCTTTTCCATAAAAATATATGCAAAACTAAACTTACAGAATAAATAACGAAAATAAACTTATTTTATGATAATTTAGAAAATTGGTATTAAAGAAATGTTTACCGAAAAGAGCTCTTCCTTTGAGTGCCAAACAGTTTTCTCTTCTTCTTCATAAGGGGACACATATTCTCCCAAATAATCGCACGGATCGAGTGATCGGGAAATAATCCGTCGGCGACTTATCATTGGAAATGTTTAATAAACAATTGATTCGTGAGAAACACAGACACATAAAAGTAGGAATTGAAACAATTTATACGAATATTTTGATTAAAAACTATTTGTCACTCAAACATAAAATCATAAACTAATAAATATATATAAAAGTTGTTGTAATCAACGGTTTGAATGGTTAATAGCGATTGCGGAGAATAAACATAAAAGTTTCACTCACTTGTCTTGGAGTGTCTCTCTTGTAGAAGTAGGTCAACCATACCATCTCTCTCTCTCCTTCTCCCACCTCCAACCTCAACAATACCATACAATACCATACAATCCATAGTCACAGCTAACGGGTGACCCATTTCTTGCAGTTAAACCACTCGTTTTGCGATACTGTTTAACGTGTTTTTATTATAGCATTGGATTTCGTTTGCAATCCATTACACACAACAACGACAGCCAACCGTCGACTTCAATCACCCCAAAAGTGTTGATCGCTTTTCAACATCTAATGCCGAATAAACTATAAAAATATCACATAATTTCTTATCCAATCGATTATACAAATAAGGAAAGCAAAGTCACAACTTATCGCTTCAATTATTTTCCAGTGATTCGCGAGAAAACCCAAACATTCATTGGCTTTAAAAACATCTAAATATAACTTTTGTGCAAATTTTTCCAAATCATTTAAAAATCATTATAAGATATGTAAAGAAATTTGCATTTTTATACTAATTTACAATTCAATGCATTAGTTTCAATTGATTTGAATAAAAGTTTCGTTATATTCATTAATTATTAGCAAAACATATAAAATAGAGATATAATTATGAGCCTTAAAATAACTTCATGCATAACTAAAGCTTAAAAATTTCGGGAATTTAGTTAATAAAAACATCGGGATTTACATACTATTAGATTTAGGGATCACAATAGACTCAAAATATACCATTTTTATTTTCCCGATTTTGGCATATTCTTTGGGAATTTTGGCATAATCGTGATCATTGTTTGTCTTTCAATGATTTGAAATTACGAAGTTTTACTGAAATTGATAAACAAATATTAAATTTTTATCTCAAAAACATGGAACAATCTAAATAAATAATTATTTAATTTTTAACAGTTATTTTCATTACTATTCCACATAAATTCTATAGAGTGAACATTCTATATAGTGTCTAAAAATATACACCAACGACTACTATATCAAATGTTCGCTATATAAACTTTAGTCCCGAATTTGTATGTTTATATTCCCGAAAAATAAAAGCTCTACGCATAACTTAAATGAAATATCTATAAAAATATTTTCTTATAATTTATCTGAAAATATACAGAAAAATGTATAATACTGAAAAAATACTAAAAATTATCTGACAATATGTATAATTGTTAGTGATTTGTATATATGGCAAACAAAAGGGTTCCTTAATCTATAATTTGTGATAAAAAATAATAAATAAGTTGTTGAAAAATAAATGTGTTTCAAAATTGGAGACATTAGAGACAAATCGTATCATAACTAAGGAATCGTATCATTAAATAAGGAATCGATTCATTGGATCTAAAAATCTCATTAGTTTTATAGCATTTGATAAACTCTTTAAAAAATCATTTGAAAACTTTCTAAAAATATAAGACATTAATTGATTTTTTCGTTCACTTATTATTTGAACATTAATTATATCCGTTTGGCTTCACTTCACAATAATTCTTATGAATTAAATTCAATTATTGAATAAACATTTACATTAGTTATGAACGTTATATAATAAAATATTTAAACCATATTAAAAGTGCATTTAAGTCTCAAACATATAAATTAACGCATTTCTACTTGAATTCACTCAACAATATTAATATAACTAATATATCATAAAAAGTATTGTCAAAAATAAAACTAATTTCTATGAAGAATACACACTATAATTATATTACCAAAAATATACTTTATTTTTGTTTAAAGCAAAACTATTTTCAAATTAAGACTAGTATTTAATTAACTATTTTAATATAGACTTAAAATATTGTTTTTAGGGTTTAAAAACAAAATTTACGGAACTTTAAATTGTTTTAAAATTATTTTACATGACATACAGGTATTGAATATAATTTGTGCTCATTTTGTTTGTTAAGTTAATCCTATTTTATTACAAATCATTCGCCCAATAATAATGAATTTCTTACATCAAAACGAGTGTTAATTTACAATAGTTTTAAATTAAAAAGTTGTGATATTTATATATCCAGACAATAATCTCCACTCAATTCTCAATTATGTATGGATTTCTTGACATTAGAGGTAAATGTCAGTCAAATTTCATTCAATTTTGTTAATGAATTGTATATAAAGTCTAAAAATAAAAACAAAAACGTTTAGTTTAAAACTTTTTAGTGTTGTTTTAAACGCAACCCAAAAAAAAAGTGGACTAAAAAAGTAGAAAAATAGTGAAAAGTCATTAAAGAGTGATTGAATGTATGGTTGCATTCAATGCTAATCTAATTTACAAATCATTAGTTTTTATTAATGTTTTTACTTCAAGTCATTCACACTTTTTTATATGCAATTCATAACAAAAACAGTGCTTTTAATCGCATTTTAATTTATAATTAAATTATTTTTTAATCAAATTTGAATACTTTTTGCGAAGTTTTTGTCAAACTTTGTGCGCATGTCTTCCCTATAGAGTGACCAACTCTTCAGGAAAGTTGTGTTTATATTAAATTAATAATACTTTTATAGGTTTATACAGAATTAACATTACATTAATGTAATAATAAAATTAATTATTAAACGATGATTAGTGTCATCGATGGGAGGGCTGACCGCTGGACAGACCCGGGAAGCGATAGAGGAGTACAATGTATTGTTGTATAGTTAGAGTGCAATACAATGTGAGACATGTGGCGACACTACATGTGTTGATGTCATTTAATGGTTGCCAAACGTGTGAAGAGGTATTGATCTTAAGGGTAATGTCTGTCCCGAAGTCAGCGACCGGTCAGTCGTTCCGCATATCGGAAGGCGATTGGATTTGTGACGACCAGAACTGCCAGAACGTGAACTTCGCCCGAAGGATGACCTGTAATATCTGTGGGAAAGACAAACCATTGGATTCGCGTCTTCGCGACAAAGAGGCGGACAAAGCGAGCGCTGAGAAGAAGCGCAAAGTCGGTCACGAGATCGGGAAAGTGGCCGCAGAGAAGTCGAAGGGACTCTTCTCGGCCGACGACTGGCAGTGCGGACGGTATGACAAGTGATATATTGACCATCGCTTTCGGTCACCACTTAATTGTTATTCATTTGATTGCTATGTTCTGCACCGATGTGTATGGGATGTGATGTATGGGTGATGTCTTGGGCTGTGTTGGCTGTGCTCAGGTGTGGTAACGTGAATTGGGCGCGAAGACACACGTGTAACATGTGTTCGGCGCCGAAGTTCAGTGACAATGAGGAGCGGACAGGACTGGGAGGCGGTTATAACGAGCGCGAAGAAGTGGAGTACGTCGAGAGGCAGGACAGCGATGGCGAGTACGACGACTTCGGACGCAAGAGGAAGAAGACCCGTACCAGTGATGACCGCAACCCTATTAGTGATGACAAAGAGACCGATTCGAGTCAATGCAAAAGTGATGTCAACTCTTGCCATAACAACCGCGAAGACGACGCGGAGGATGAGGAGGAAGAGGACGACGACGACGACGAGAGCGGAGACGTCTCTAAATATAAACTCGAGTCCGAAGAGGAGGACGAAGAAGACGATGACGACGACGACGAAGACCTCTCTAAATATGATTTGAGTGATTGTCTCGAAGACAAGAAGTGAATGCAAACGAATGGTTTGGGTTTTTCTCTCATTGAATATGTCATTGGATTTGATGCTAAACTCAACTTTGGTTTTAAATACGTTTTTTATAATTTAACCGAAAAAGTAATTTAATTGTTATTTAGTTTTACTCTCAGTTTATATACTTGTAATCAATTTAAATCATGAATTCATCAATAAATCAATTTTACATTCATTTTAACATTTAAATGCAAAGTGTGAGCATTTAATTGTCATTCAATATAATTGTGAATATAATGGTGTGATTGGCCTTCAATTAGTGGCCAAATTACTATCGAAACCAAATCTAATCAAAATAACATCACTATAGCTCTGAAAAGGCATTTAATTGCTATTATTTACAAAACTGATTGTGTAGTGGAAAGAGGGTTGGGGTCAGAGGTTAGGGTCAGAAGTTGGGCTCAAAGTGTGATGTTTTGCATACAATTGAACCACAGATTGAGCCCTAATTGTGGTTAACATTTGGTTTTCCCAATCGATGGCAACATTTCAATGAGAAATGCAGTGAATGTGATGTAAAGTCACGTGACTTTGCGTTTGAGAGTAGAGTTGCGTTCAAAACAAAACACAACACAAAACAAGACATCGTTTTGAAGACACGGTCTGTTTGGATGCGATTAGTGGTGACCATCGGATCCAATGATAATAATGTCGTTTCAAATGCCGACCCAACGACAGGAACAGCAGAGGAATAAAATACTGGAAGACCTGCAGAAGAAGCAACAGCTCCTCAAACAGCAGTCAATTAGCGGCCAGTCGTC